TAGTGTGTTGTTTTCAACGGTTTCGGTTGTTTAGAGTCGAGATACCGGTCATTTGTACTCTTTACTCGACAAAGGAAACAGACATTTTCGAAATCTCGGAAAATCAGTTTTCAAATCATGCTTGTGTTCAGAAGAAACTTCGTCTTTATTATTCATACCAAACTGATGAATCTTATTCCGAACATTTATTTATATTTGTTCCTGCAGTGAAGATTTAAATGCCTGTATTTATTCGTGTGTATGATTTCGTTACGTTCAAATTATTCAATCAAGAATTTTCCATCATGAAAGCGAGTATCATGTTGGGATATACAATAAACGAAAGCTGCTATGGCCCGAGGTAATGATTTTCCTCACATTTTTGGACCCAAATTATATATATGCAACCATAATATACAAACTCGTGTTTGCTATATTTATTCAGTATTTTCCCTTATACCAGCGAGCCAATGTTACTGCTGGTTTCATTATTTGTTCAGTCATAACATCAGAAAAGAAGACTGTCTCAGGGATATCCTTACTAACGGCATTTAGCAAAATACGAAACAATCTATTCATATTTTTGTATATTCAACTTTGTCATTCATTTATTTTACTTACTCGATTCACTCTTGTGTACTTTATTCATTATAATATATTTTATCTTTCATCCGTTCATTAAACCCTTATTTATTAATCATCATTAAACAATTTAATTTAATGAAATATTTTATTAAATCAACGAGATTACATGGGAAGAGCAGGCTAGGCCTATACATTCTTTATGTCGTTCTTTTGATTTTGTGTCTACATGTACTAATTATGTTTCTGTTGCTGTCGTCGTTCATTTGTTTTGGTATGTCCTCAGTTCATGTTGCTGTCGTTCCTTTGTTTTAGTATGTCCTGCTGTTTTCATGCTGTCGTTCCTTTGTTTTAGTATGTCCTGCTGTGTTCATTCCTTTGTTTTAGTATGTCCTGCTGTTTTCATTCCTTTGTTTAAGTATGTCCTGCTGTGTTCATTCCTTTGTTTTAGTATGTCCTGCTGTTTTCATTCCTTTGTTTTAGTATGTCCTGCTGTTTTCATTCCTTTGTTTTAGTATGTCCTGCTGTTTTCATTCCTTTGTTTTAGTATGTCCTGCTGTTTTCATTCCTTTGTTTTAGTATGTCCTGCTGTTTTCATTCCTTTGTTTTAGTATGTCCTGCTGTTTTCATTCCTTTGTTTTAGTATGTCCTGCTGTTTTCATTCCTTTGTTTTAGTATGTCCTGCTGTTTTCATTCCTTTGTTTTAGTATGTCCTGCTGTTTTCATTCCTTTGTTTTAGTATGTCCTGCTGTTTTCATTCCTTTGTTTTAGTATGTCCTGCTGTTTTCATTCCTTTGTTTTAGTATGTCCTGCTGTTTTCATTCCTTTGTTTTAGTATGTCCTGCTGTTTTCATTCCTTTGTTTTAGTATGTCCTGCTGTTTTCATTCCTTTGTTTTAGTATGTCCTGCTGTTTTCATTCCTTTGTTTTAGTATGTCCTGCTGTTTTCATTCCTTTGTTTTAGTATGTCCTGCTGTTTTCATTCCTTTGTTTTAGTATGTCCTGCTGTTTTCATTCCTTTGTTTTAGTATGTCCTGCTGTTTTCATTCCTTTGTTTTAGTATGTCCTGCTGTTTTCATTCCTTTGTTTTAGTATGTCCTGCTGTTTTCATTCCTTTGTTTTAGTATGTCCTGCTGTTTTCATTCCTTTGTTTTAGTATGTCCTGCTGTTTTCATTCCTTTGTTTTAGTATGTCCTGCTGTTTTCATTCCTTTGTTTTAGTATGTCCTGCTGTTTTCATTCCTTTGTTTTAGTATGTCCTGCTGTTTTCATTCCTTTGTTTTAGTATGTCCTGCTGTTTTCATTCCTTTGTTTTAGTATGTCCTGCTGTTTTCATTCCTTTGTTTTAGTATGTCCTGCTGTTTTCATTCCTTTGTTTTAGTATGTCCTGCTGTTTTCATTCCTTTGTTTTAGTATGTCCTGCTGTTTTCATTCCTTTGTTTTAGTATGTCCTGCTGTTTTCATTCCTTTGTTTTAGTATGTCCTGCTGTTTTCATTCCTTTGTTTTAGTATGTCCTGCTGTTTTCATTCCTTTGTTTTAGTATGTCCTGCTGTTTTCATTCCTTTGTTTTAGTATGTCCTGCTGTTTTCATTCCTTTGTTTTAGTATGTCCTGCTGTTTTCATTCCTTTGTTTTAGTATGTCCTGCTGTTTTCATTCCTTTGTTTTAGTATGTCCTGCTGTTTTCATTCCTTTGTTTTAGTATGTCCTGCTGTTTTCATTCCTTTGTTTTAGTATGTCCTGCTGTTTTCATTCCTTTGTTTTAGTATGTCCTGCTGTTTTCATTCCTTTGTTTTAGTATGTCCTGCTGTTTTCATTCCTTTGTTTTAGTATGTCCTGCTGTTTTCATTCCTTTGTTTTAGTATGTCCTGCTGTTTTCATTCCTTTGTTTTAGTATGTCCTGCTGTTTTCATTCCTTTGTTTTAGTATGTCCTGCTGTTTTCATTCCTTTGTTTTAGTATGTCCTGCTGTTTTCATTCCTTTGTTTTAGTATGTCCTGCTGTTTTCATTCCTTTGTTTTAGTATGTCCTGCTGTTTTCATTCCTTTGTTTTAGTATGTCCTGCTGTTTTCATTCCTTTGTTTTAGTATGTCCTGCTGTTTTCATTCCTTTGTTTTAGTATGTCCTGCTGTTTTCATTCCTTTGTTTTAGTATGTCCTGCTGTTTTCATTCCTTTGTTTTAGTATGTCCTGCTGTTTTCATTCCTTTGTTTTAGTATGTCCTGCTGTTTTCATTCCTTTGTTTTAGTATGTCCTGCTGTTTTCATTCCTTTGTTTTAGTATGTCCTGCTGTTTTCATTCCTTTGTTTTAGTATGTCCTGCTGTTTTCATTCCTTTGTTTTAGTATGTCCTGCTGTTTTCATTCCTTTGTTTTAGTATGTCCTGCTGTTTTCATTCCTTTGTTTTAGTATGTCCTGCTGTTTTCATTCCTTTGTTTTAGTATGTCCTGCTGTTTTCATTCCTTTGTTTTAGTATGTCCTGCTGTTTTCATTCCTTTGTTTTAGTATGTCCTGCTGTTTTCATTCCTTTGTTTTAGTATGTCCTGCTGTTTTCATTCCTTTGTTTTAGTATGTCCTGCTGTTTTCATTCCTTTGTTTTAGTATGTCCTGCTGTTTTCATTCCTTTGTTTTAGTATGTCCTGCTGTTTTCATTCCTTTGTTTTAGTATGTCCTGCTGTTTTCATTCCTTTGTTTTAGTATGTCCTGCTGTTTTCATTCCTTTGTTTTAGTATGTCCTGCTGTTTTCATTCCTTTGTTTTAGTATGTCCTGCTGTTTTCATTCCTTTGTTTTAGTATGTCCTGCTGTTTTTATTCCTTTGTTTAAGTATGTCCTGCTGTTTTCATTCCTTTGTTTTTGGTGATTTGCGCCGTTTCTGCAGGACGTCCTTTGATTTGATTTTGATTATCTCAAGAACACGTTAATGTAGAAGATCGCCGAAGAGACCAATTGCATCTAAAACAAGTTGCTGTTTCAAACTCCTCAACATGCATACATTCAGAGCAGTAATTACTGATACAAGCTCTATTATGATTGTTGAGTTTAATGGTGTTGGAACACACTAACCTCAAAATAGGAGAGAGGACAATATCCAGATTTCATTAATTTAGGAATTTTCGTACTTTGTATTTCCTATCATAAGTTCTTTAAAAACTTGCTGAATACTCTAAACTGTAAATGGATTTTTTATTTGTAAATATTTCTCAGAAATGGTGAAAAGCTTTTAAATTATTATTATTATTATCATTGTCAATCCTTTTTAAAGGCAAATGTAGTCGATAAAACAATGTCTTTATATTGCACTTACAAGTAATTTTTTATCCGGTTTCTATGTTGGTATGTTTTGTGATTTTGAAATTTCTGACGTGTCAAATATCAATATCGATATTTTGAAAATAGTTCCCTAATTTCTCTTTTCCAATTAATGTAAACCCCATGTTAATAACTACGCCAACTATATTTTAAAGATGTTTCCTGTTATTTCTGTTTCCCTTTCCACTGGCTTATTGGTCGCAATAATCACACAAAGATAGTTCAGCCCTTATCAAATAGATCCCGTCATATGTTAATGTGGGTTATCTTCCTTATTCCTCTCTTTGTTAACTTAATTAGCTATCAAAATTAGTTGAACAGGGATGGTATATTGTTATTGAATCAAACCAGGATTCAAAAAGCTGAATGATAACGACTCAGGAAGGCAGATACATTGTCAGCAATATTTTATTAATAACAAAAACAATTTCATTCCAGTATTTGCCTACTGAAATATAACATTAATTCAGTCATCATAACAATTTGTATATATACAAGTTTTAGTTAAATATCTACATAGAACAGATAACCGTGAATAATACTATTTAACACGTATTATTCACAGTTTTGATAGAATTACACGATTCACTGAAAGGAATAACACTAAATAGGTCCCCAGAATGTACGAAGGAGAACAGGCATCTCAACCGTCATCACAACAAAGCTTAAGAGATGACTTTGTGATGCATCAATACATATCTTCATTGACACCAGAGAGAAAACAGAAACAAGAAAGTGTGATATTGGCAAGGTAAGGTCACCGACTTAAAGTATGACATCATGATTTCAAGGTTATAAGTAAACCTGGCGGCAGTTTTATCTAATGAAATTATCGAAATAATCACATTGTGATTCCCAATATATAGGAATATTTCATTATTTACTTCCATAAAAAAAAGTGATCAACACGTGTTTTTGAATCTACTTTATGATGACAAACTTCATTCTAAGAAAGTTCCCCATCAGGAGGTTACGATAGGGATGTCACCATACCGAATCAAGTGATACGACCGATCACTTCAAGACATGTCACCCTAAATCAAATTGAGTTTGTCAGTTAGTTAACTATATTATTTTCGATTCGGCAATATTATATAAAAAAAAAAAAAAAAAAAAAAAAAAAAAAATGGAAAAAGATAAAAATAATAAAGAAGAAATTTATAATAAAACAGAAAGATAACCATTTATATATACACAATTAGTAAAGAAGTCTTACAAAAATCCCTTATAACATTGAGATACTGTTAAAAATGTTATACAATAAAAACAATTTGAATTAACTATTGCATTGAAGTCACTCTAACTGTGAATGCTATTTTATTGATAAGGCCTCAATTACTTTATGAATAGAATGACGTCTATGTTAAAAATCCGGAATAACCTCAATGTTGTTATTTTTTCCTTGTATTAAGAACAACACACATGTGACCCCAACCTTTCCACCAGACATAAATAGTTGCTATTTCAATTGGTGTAGAATTATGCCACTTGACACGCTACTAATCAAACCAATAGGGAAACCCGCTCACGTACACATACTCTTCCATATAAACGTTTGACAGATCAAAAAAAGATTTCACAGTCTTAAGTTTTCTTTTTCATGATAGAATTATCTCAATTATTTTAAAATCCTCATTACATAATCGTTTGATCACCAACAAAAACAATTCACGCAATCTGATTTAGAAGATACTGATTCGTTCTTGGTGATATTGATGTTTTTCACTTCTTTCCCGTTTGATATTTGTTATTCACTTCACGCTGTGGAATGAGGGTACTAAGTATGTATTTACAATAACTTTACACCACATATGTAAATCTGTGTTTAATGAACTTGTATTACTGTTAATTCAGTGATAAATAAACTTGTTTTACTGTTAATCGAGTGATAAATAAACTTGTTTTACTGTTAATCGAGTGATAAATGAGTTTGTTTTACTGTTAATCGAGTGATAAATGTACTTGTTTAACTGTTAATCGAGTGATAAATGAACTTGTTTTACTGTTCATTTAGTGATAAATGAACTTGTTTTACTGTTCATTCAGTGATAAATGAACTTGTTTAACTGTTAATCGAGTGATAAATGAACTTGTTTTACTGTTCATTCAGTGATAAATGAACTTGTTTTACTGTTAATTCAGTGATAAATAAACTTGTTTTACTGTTAATTCAGTGATAAATGAACTTGTTTTACTGTTAAATCAGTGATAAATGAACTTGTATTACTGTTAATTCATTGATAAATAAACTTGTTTTACTGTTAATTCAGTGATAAATAAACTTGTTTTACTGTTAATTCAGTGATAAATGAACTTGTTTTACTGTTAAATCAGTGATAAATGAACTTGTATTACTGTTAATTCATTGATAAATAAACTTGTTTTACTGTTAATTCAGTGATAAATAAACTTGTTTTACTGTTAATTCAGTGATAAATGAACTTGTTTTACTGTTAAATCAGTGATAAATGAACTTGTATTACTGTTAATTCAGTGATAAATAAACTTGTTTTACTGTTAATTCAGTGATAAATAAACTTGTTTTACTGTTAATTCAGTGATAAATGAACTTGTTTTACTGTTAAATCAGTGATAAATGAACTCGTATTGCTGTTAATTCATTGATAAATAAACTTGTTTTACTTTTACTGTTAATTCAGTGTCCTTCCTTTTTGATTTGCTGTTACATCTCGGCCCTGTCTTGATTGTTTAGTATCGGGATGTTAGCAATATATCCTTGTGTGTCGAAACAGTATTTATTAATTAATTTACTTATCAATTAATCCACTTATTTGTTTGTTTAATTATTTTGATTGGTAATGTGAGTAACGTTCTCGTGAGGTTATTTTAATATACAACATTATTTAGGTAAGAAATAATCGATAGAAAATAAAACCAATAGGCCCAATCGTTAGATCTATCTATCTCTCTATCACTCCAATATGTTGAACAGCATTTATTGTTCTTGAATTTATTAAATTCATATTTGTAGATAAGTTACATAAGGAAAATAATTATGCACTTTTCAAAAATTAAATAGTCTCAGACTTATTACCTCCGTTATATATCATACAGTATCGTTCAGTGATTAATAACGATGGTGAGTGAATGGCACTATGAATTGATGTAGATCTTAAAACTATGTTCCAACCGTAGGTACCCTACATATAAACACTAACATCGATATACATTGTAGTACTAAAACATTACATAGATATTGATATCTTTACGCAGTACACCTCACATTTTAGTACACAAATCAACTTCACAACAAACACATGGTGTGACATGAAAAACCCAATTCGTAGAAACCTATATGATGTCATACAGTGTAGATACTTAACATCAGAAACTTTGGAAATCCCAAATGTACTGCGTATATCAACACATAAAAACAAAAACAAGGACAAACTGTATGATTGACGGGAAACATTACAAACTGTATGATTGACGGGAAACATTACAAACTGGCCACCAAGAAAACATTTTCATAAAAATAGGTTCCCGCTGTTTTTCAACATTATTTCACTATATAACGCAAGTTATAAATCTTTAAACCATATATTTGAAAGTAGACCAACATAAAAACTGGTATATAAAAATTTCATCAGGGTGGAGTAATAAAGCGTATCAAAAACGATATGGGAGATCATTTCATCCTATATTACAAATCAGTTTTCTGGAAATTACAATAAGAAATATTAAACATTAATACTGAAAAAAAATATCAAAATTCAGCGGGATCCCATTTATATAGAGAGAGGAAGCGCAACAAAGGTGTTTGGTTCCTGATACATAATACTGTAACTAGATTCCTTTTTTACGCATATGTGATACGAAGTCCATTCATCATCAAACATAAGTGTATCATCATTTATGAGGATATACATTTCTAGTGTAACATCTTGTTGTACTTACATGTATACAGTACTCTAGATAATACACGTGACAATCGGCTTATATATCACTGATTATGGAAAGCATGCAACGTTCGATGTAGCGGGAAATGATTGATCCGTATTCCATCTGTTGATACGTGAGAATTCACTGTTTCACAGACTATACACTGATGGAATATTGCATAGAAGCACTTTGAACATGTTTAGTATGACAGTAGATTCCCTCAGCCATCGTCCAGGCTTATTGTTGTTATGTTTCGTAAGTTTTCCATATCAAGATCGTTCTCAAATCTGAGCAGAACATTGACACAAATCCATAATACTTCAACGTTTCGTCATCTGGTCGTGTTTCAGATAGATGCTATCTTGGCTAAGCACAGATCACTATCGCGATTATATTGTTATCCAAATCATTCAATGACTGTGATAAGTGTTCAATAACTAATACAAACATTACCATTATGTCAATTAAATTTCATCGACAGCTATACTAACGTCACGTCCACCGAATTTATTATCCACTTTGGAATTCTGAAGAGTCATCGTTTTCAGTTGACCTCCTTGCAGGTGGTGTGCATTCAGCTTTGTCTGTTACTTGCATTGGTGTTTTCATCTGTTGGCGACATACTGAGCACTGTTGTTCTGTAACAGATCAACAACTAGTTAAATGGTAGATCAACAATAAGTTAAATGGCAGACCAACAATTAGTTAAAGGGTAGATCAGCAACAAGTTAAATGAGAGATCAACAACAAGTTTAACGGTAGTTTACAACAAGTTAAATGGTAGACCATCAACAAGTTAAATGGTATATCAACAACTATTTAAATGAGAGATCAACAACAAGTTAAATGAACGATCAACAAATAGTTAAATAGTAGAACAACAACAAACTAAATGGCAGACCGACAACTAGTTCAATGGTTGATCAACAACAAGTAAAATGGCAGTCCGACAACTAGTTAAATGAGAGATCAACAACAAGTTAAATGGTATATCAACAACTACTTAAATGAGAGATCAACAACTAGTTATATGGCAGACCAACAACTAGTTAAATGGTAGATCCACAACAAGTTAATTGGTAGATCAACAAAAAGTTAAACGGTAGATTACGACTAATTAAATGGTAGACCATCAACAAGTTAAAGGGTAGATCAACAACTACTTAAACGGTAGATCAACAACTAGTTAAATGGAATATCAACAACTAATTAAACGAGAGATAAACAACAAGTTAAATGGCAGACCAACAACTATTTAAAGGGTAGATCAACAACAAATAAAATGAGAGATCAACAACAAGTTAAACGGTAGTTTACAACTAGTCAAATAGTAGACCATCAACATGTTAAATGGTATATCAACAACTATTTAAATGAGAGATCAACAACTAGTTAAATGGTAGATCAACAACTAGTTAAATGGCAGACCGAAAACTAGTTAAATGGTTGATCAACAACAAGTTAAATGGCAGTCCGACAACTAGTTAAATGAGAGATCAACAACAAGTTAAATGGCAGACAAACAACAAGTTAAATGGTAAATCAACAACAAATGGCAGACAAACAACAAGTTAAATGGTATATCAGCAACAAGTTAAATGGTAGATCAACAACAAGTTAAATGGTAGATCAACAACTAGTTAAATGGTAGATCAACAACTAGTTAAATGGTAGATCAACAACAAGTTAAATGGTAGACAAACAACTAGTAAAATGGTAGATCAACAACTAGTTAAATGGTAGATCAACAACAAGTTAAATGAGAGATCAACAACAAGTTAAATGGTAGACCAACAACAGGTTAAAGGGTAGATCAACAACAAGTTAAATGAGAGATCAACAACAAGTTAAATGGTAGACCAACAACAAGTTAAAAGGTAGATCAACAACAAGTTAAATGAGAGATCAACAACAAGTTAAATGGTAGATCAACAACAAGTTAAATGAGAGATCAACAACAAGTTAAATGAGAGATCAACAACAAGTTAAATGGTAGACCAACAACTAGTTAAATGGTAGACCAACAACTAATTAAATGAGAGATCAACAACTAGTTAAATGGTAGATCAACAACTATTTAATGGTTGACCAACAACTAGTTAAATGAGAGATCAACAACTAGTTAAATGAGGGACCAACAACTTGTTAAATGAGAGATCAACAACTAGTTAAATGAGAGATCAACAACTAGTTAAATGGTAGATCAACAACTATTTAATGGTTGACCAACAACTAGTTAAATGAGAGATCAACAACTAGTTAAATGAGGGACCAACAACTTGTTAAATGAGAGATCAACAACTAGTTAAATGAGAGATCAACAACTAGTTAAATGGTAGATCAACAACTATTTAATGGTTGACCAACAACTAGTTAAATGAGAGATCAACAACTAGTTAAATGAGGGACCAACAACTTCTTAAATGAGAGATCAACAACTAGTTAAATGAGGGACCAACAACTTGTTAAATGATAGATCAACAACTTGTTAAATGAGAGATCAACAACTAGTTAAATGAGGGACCAACAACTTGTTAAATGAGAGATCAACAACTAGTTAAATGGTAGATCAACTAGTTAAATGGTAGATCAACAACTAGTTAAAGGGTAGACCAACAATTTGTTAAATGGTAGATAAACAATTATTTAGGATTTCTCTCTGCAGATTCACTGTTAACTGAAACATCATGATAAAAATATTGGAAGTTATTATTATTTTTTTTAGAAAATTCGTCTTATATGTTTTAGTGATGGACACCAACCTTTTTAAAAAGATCATAAAATAAAAAAAAAATGATTTTGATAGAACACATTGTATAGGTAAGTACCTGGTTCTGGGAGATCCCCATCCTTTAGAAACAAGGCGTGTCTTCTTTCTAAAACGTAAACATCATAAGATAAAAATTTCTTCATACTATTGTGTCCTTATTTATAATTCATAAACAAGCTTTTAATTGCGTTCATCAGGATTTTAAGGTGTTTTTGAAAAGCTTCGTGTAGTTGATATTTTAACAAATATATGTTAGCAGTCCTCTGCCTAAAACAACAGATTAGGAATTATACATAGTAGTCTAAATCGTTGTGAATTTTATCTTATTTGTTATAAATACTCTGGCGATTGCTGTACGTAATTAATCTTGAATGATTGAAATAAACATAGCAATCATTTTAAAATATGCAATATACCTGAACATGCTGAGTTGTATCCACTGTCACTCGATGACCCAGCAGCTGTAACAAGCAAAAATGAAGTGATAGATAAAAACTACAATAAGAAAAGGTGAAAAGTACTGTTATAAAGAGTGAAAAACAAACAAGTTAAAGATAAAAACACCAGTAGTGAAAGGTTAAAACAACATAGTGAAAGGTTAAAACAACATAGTGAAAGGTTAAAACAACAGTAGTGAAAGGTGAAAACTACAATAGTGAAAGGTGAAAATTACAGTAGTGAAAGGTTAAAACAAAAGTTTAAAAGGTAAAAACAACAGTAGTAGTAAAAGGTGAAAACAACAGTAGTGACAGGTGAAAACAACAGTAGTGACAGGTGAAAACAACAGTAGACAAAGGTTAAAACTACAGTAGTGACAGGTGAAAACTACAGTAGTGACAGGTGAAAACAACAGTAGTGAAAGGTGAAAACAACAGTAGTGAAAGGTGAAAACAACAGTAGGGAAAGGTGAAAACTAAATAAGTGAAAGGTGAAAAAAAACAGTAGAGAAAGGTGAATACTACTGTAGTGAAAGGTGAAAACAAGAGTAGGGAAAGGTAAAAACACCAGTAGTGAAAAATGAAAACTACAGCAGAGAAAGGTGAAAACTACAGTAGTGACAGATGAAAACAACAGTAGTGAAAGGTGAAAACAACAGTAGTGAAAGGTGAAAACAACAGTAGTGAAAGGTGAAAACAACAGTAGTGAAAGGTGAAAACTACAGTAGTGACAGGTGAAAACAACAGTAGTGAAAGGTGAAAACAACAGTAGTGAAAGGTGAAAACAACAGTAGGGAAAGGTGAAAACTAAATAAGTGAAAGGTGAAAAAAAACAGTAGAGAAAGGTGAATACTACTGTAGTGAAAGGTGAAAACAAGAGTAGGGAAAGGTAAAAACACCAGTAGTGAAAAATGAAAACTACAGCAGAGAAAGGTGAAAACTACAGTAGTGACAGATGAAAACAACAGTAGTGAAAGGTGAAAACAACAGTAGTGAAAGGTGAAAACAACAGTAGTGAAAGGTGAAAACTACAGTAGTGACAGGTGAAAACAACAGTAGTGAAAGGTGAAAACAACAGTAGTGAAAGGTTAAAACACCAGAAGTGAAAGGTGAAAACTACAGTAGTGAAAGGTGAAAACACCAGTAGTGAAAGGTGAAAACTACAGTAGAGAAGGGTGAAAACAACAGTAGTGAAGGGTGAAAACTCCAGTAGTGAAAGGTGAAAACTACAGTAGTGACAGGTGAAAACATTAGTAGAGAAATGTAAAAAACAACAGTAGTGAAAGGTGATAATACCAGTAGTGAAAGGTGAAAACACCACTGGTGAAAGGTGAAAACTACAGAAGTGACATGTGAAAACAACAGTAGAGAAAGGTGAAAACAACAGTAGTGAAAGGTGAAAACACCAGTAGTGAAAGGTGAAAACTACAGTAGTGACAGGTGTAAACAACAGTAGTGACAGGTGAAAACAACAGTAGTGAAAAATTTATACTACAATAGTGAAAGGTGAAAACTACAGCAGAGAAAGATGAAAACTATAGTAGAGAAAGGTAAAAACACCAGTAGTAAAAGGTGAAAACAACAGTAGTGAAAGGTTAAAACTGGTGTAAAGAAAAGTGAAAACTACAGTAGTGACAGGTGAAAACACCAGTAGTAAAATGTGAAAACTACAGTAGAGAATTGTGAAAACAACAATAGAGAAAGGTGAAAACTACAGTAGAGAAAGGTGAAAACAACAGTAATGAAAGATGAAAACAACACTAGTGAAAGGTGAAAACTACAGTAGTGAAAGGTGAAAACAACAGTACAGAAAAGGTGAAATCAACAGTAGTGAAAGGTTAAAACAACACAGTAGTAAAAGGTGAAAACAACAGTAGAGAAAGGTGAAAACTACACTAGAGAAAGGTGCAAACAATAGTAGTGAAAGGTTAAAACACCAGTAGTGAAAGGTGAAAACTACAGTAGAGAAAAGGGAAACTACAGTAGTGACAGGTGAAAACAGCGGTACTGAAAGGTGAAAACTACAGTAGTGAAAGGTTTACACTACAATATTGAAAGGTGAAAACTACAGTAGAGAAAGGTAAAAACTATAGCAGAGAAAGGTGAAAACAAAAGTATTGAAAGGTTAAAACTGATGTAGAGAAAGGTGAAAACTACAGTAGTGACAAGTGAAAACAACAGTAGTGAAATGTGAAAACTACAGTAGAGAATTGTGAAAACTACAGTAGAGAAAGGTGAAACCTACACTAGAGAAAGGTGCAAACAATAGTAGTGAAAGGTTAAAACACCAGTAGTGAAAGGTGAAAACTACAGTAGAGAAAGGTGAAAACTACACTAGAGAAAGGTGCAAACAATAGTAGTGAAAGGTTAAAACACCAGTAGTGAAAGGTGAAAACTACAGTAGAGAAAGGTGAAAACAACAGAAGTGAAAAGTTTAAACAACAGAAGTGAACGGTGAAAACTACAGTAGAGAAAGGTGAAAACTACTGTAGTGACAGGTGGAAACAGCAGTAGTGAAATGTGAAACTACTGTAGAGAAATGTGAAAACTACAGTAGAGAAATGTGAAAACAACAGTAGAGAAAGATGAATACAACAGTAGTGAAAGCTGACAACACCAGTAGTGAAAGGTGAAAACTACAGTAGTGACAGGTGAAAACACCAGTAATGAAATGTGAAACTACTGTAGAGAAATGTGAAAACTACTGTAGAGAAAGGTGAAAACTACTGTAGTGACAGGTGAAAACACCAGTAGTGAAATGTGAAACTACTGTATAGAAATGTGAAAACTATACTAGAGAAAGGTGAAAACAACAGAAGTGAAAGGTGAAAACAACAGTAGAGAAAGGTAAAAACTACTGTTGTGACAGGTGAAAACACCAGTAGTGAAAGGTGAAAACTACAGTAGAGAAAGGTGCAAACAACAGTAGTGAAAGGTGAAAACACCGGTAGTGAAAGGTAAAAACTACAGTAGTGACAGGTGAAAACAACAGTAGAGAAAGGTGAAAACAACAGTAGTGAAAAGTGAAAACACCAGTAGTGAAAGGTGAAAACAACAGAAGTGACAGGTGTAAACAACAGTAGTGACAGGTGAAAACAACATTAGTGAAAGGTGAAAACATCAGTAGTGAAAGGTGAAAACAACAGTAGTGAAAGGTGAAAACAACAGTAGTGAAAGGTGAAAACAACAGTAGTGAAAGGTGAAAACAACAGTAGTGAAAGGTGAAAACAACAGTAGTGAAAGGTGAAAACACCAGTAGTGAAAGGTGAAAACTACAGTAGAGAAAGGTGAAAACAACAGTAGTGAAAGGTGAAAACATCAGTAGTGAAAGGTGAAAACTACAGTAGTGACAGGTGAAAACGACAGTAGAGAAAGGTGAAAACAACAGTAGTGAAAGGTGAAAACACCAGTAGTGAAAGGTGAAAACTACAGTAGAGAAAGGTGAAAACAACAGTAGTGAAAGGTGAAAACATCAGTAGTGAAAGGTGAAAACTACAGTAGTGACAGGTGAAAACGACAGTAGAGAAAGGTGAAAACAACAGTAGTGAAAGGTGAAAACACCAGTAGTGAAAGGTGAAATCTAAATTAGTGAAAGATGAAAAAAACAGTGGTGAAAGGTTAAAACAACCGTAGTAGTGAAAGGTGAAAACAACAGTAGTGAAAGGTGAAAACAAGAGTAGAGAAAGGTGAAAACAACACAGAAGTGACAGGTGTAAACAACAGTAGTGACAGGTGAAAACAACAGTAGTGAAAGGTGAAAACAACAGTAGTGAAAGGTGAAAACAAGAGTAGGGAAAGGTGAAAACAACTGAAGTGACAGGTGTAAACAACAGTAGTGACAGGTGAAAACAACAGTAGTGCAAGGTGAACACAACAGTAGTGAAAGGTGAAAACACCAAAAGTGAAAGGTGAAAACAACATTAGAGAAAGGTGAAAACAACAGTTGTGAAAGGTGAAAACACCAGTAGTGAAAGGTTAAAACTAAATAAGTGAAAGGTGAAAAAAACAGAGGTGAAAGGTTAAAACAACAGTTGTAGTGAAAGGTGAAAACAACAGTCGTGACAGGTGAAAACAAGAGTAGTGAAAGGTGAAAACAACAGAAATGACAGGTGTAAACAACAGTAGTGACAGGTGAAAACAACAGTAGTGAAAGGTGAAAACAACAGTAGTGAAAGGTAAAAACTAAATAAGTGAAAGGTGAAAAAAACAGTGGTGAAAGGTTAAAACAACAGTAGTAGTGAAAGGTGAAAACAACAGTCGTGACAGGTGAAAACAAGAGTAGTGAAAGGTGAAAACAACAGAAATGACAGGTGAAAACAACAGTAGTGACAGGTGAAAACAAGAGTAGAGAAAGGTGAAAACAACAGAAGTGACAGGTGTAAACAACAGTAGTGACAGGTGAAAACAACAGTAGTGAAAGGTGAAAACAACAGTAGTGAAAGGTGAAAACAAGAGTAGGGAAAGGTAAAAACAACAGAAGTGACAGGTGTAAACAACAGTAGTGACAGGTGAAAACAACAGTAGTGCAAGGTGAAAACAACAGTAGTGAAAGGTGAAAACAACAGTAGTGAAAGTTGAAAACAACAGTAGTGACAGGTGAAAATAACAGTAGTGAAAGGTGAAAACAACAGTCGTGAAAACTTAAAACAACAATAGTGAAAGCTAAAAACTACAGTAGTGAAAGGTGAAAACAACCGTAGTGACAGGTGAAAACAACAGTAGTAAAAAGGTTTAAACAACAGTAGTAAAAGGTATAAACAACAGTAGAGAAAGGTAAAAACAACAGTAATGACAGGTGAAAACAACACTAGTGAAAGGTGAAAACTACAGTAGTGAAAGGTGAAAACAACAGTACAGAAAAGGTGAAAACAAGAGTAGTGAAAGGTTTATACTACAATAGTGAAAGGTGAAAACAACAGTACAGAAAAGGTGAAAACAAGAGTAGTGAAAGGTGAAAACAACAGTAGTAAAAGGTGAAAACAACAGTAGTGAAAGGTTTATACTACAATAGTGAAAGGTGAAAACTACAGTAGAGAAAGCTGAAAACTATAGTAGAGAAAGGTTAAAACAACAGTAGTGAAAGGTTAAAACTACAGTAGTGACAAGTGAAAACAGCAGTAGTGAAATGTGAAAACTACAGTAGAGAATTGTGAAAACTACAGTAGAGAAAGGTGAAAACTACAGTAGAGAAAGGTGAAAACAACAGTATTGAAAGGTTAAAACACCAGTAGTGAAAGGTGAAAACTACAGTAAAGAAAAGGGAAAACTACAGTAGTGACAGGTGAAAACAGCAGTACTTAAAGGTGAAAACTACAGTAGTGAAAGGTTTAAACTACAATAGTGAAAGGTGAAAACTACAATAGAGAAAGGTGAAAACTACAGTAGAGAAAGGTGAAAACAACAGAAGTGAAAGGTTTAAACAACAGAAGTGAAAGGTTTAAACAACAGAAGTGAAAGGTGAAAACTACAGTAGAGAAAGGTGAAAACACCAGTAGTGAAATGTGAAACTACTGTATAGAAATATGAAAACTACAGTAGTGAAATGTGAAAACAACAGTAAAGAAAGGTGAATACAACAGTAGTGAAAGGTGAAAACTACAGTAGAGAAAGGTGAAAACAACAGAAGGAAAAGGTGAAAACAACAGTAGTGAAAGGTGAAAACTACAGTAGTGACAGGTGAAAACAACAGTAGTGACAGGTGAAAACAACAGTAGTAAAAAGGTTAAAACAACAGTAGTAAAAGGTGAAAACAACAGTAGAGATAGGTGAAAACAACAGTAATGAAAGGTGGAAACAACACTAGTGAAAGGTGAAAACTACAGTAGTGAAAGGTGAAAACTTAATAAGGGAAAGGTGAAAAAAACAGTGGTGAAAGGTTAAACCAACCGTAGTATTGAAAGGTGAAAACAGTAGTGACAGGTGAAAACAAGAGTAGAGAAAGGTGAAAACAACAGAAGTGACAGGTGAAAACAACAGTAGTGAAAGGTGAAAACTACAGTAGTGACAGGTGAAAACAACAGTAGTGAAAGGGGAAAACAACAGTAGTGAAAGGGGAAAACAACAGTAGTGAAAGGTGAAAACAGTAGTGACAGGTGAAAACAAGAGTAGAGAAAGGTGAAAACAACAGAAGTGACAGGTGTAAACAACAGTAGTGAAAGGTGAAAACAACAGTAGTGAGAGGTGAAAACAACAGTAGTGAAAGGTGAAAACACCAGTAGTGAAAAATGAAAACTACAGTAGTGACAGGTGAAAACAACAGTAGAGAAAGGTGAAAACAACAGTTGTGAAAGGTGAAAACACCAGTAGTGAAAGGTGAAAACTACAGTAGAGAAAGGTGAAAACTATAGTAGAGAAAGGTTAAAACAACAGTAGTGAAAGGTTAAAACTGATGTAGAGAAAGGTGAAAACTACAGTAGTGACAAGTGAAAATAGCAGTAGTGAAATGTGAAAACTACAGTAGAGAATTGTGAAAACTACAGTAGAGAAAGGTGAAAACTACAGTAGAGAAAGGTGAAAACAACAGTATTGAAAGGTTAAAACACCAGTAGTGAAAGGTGAAAACTACAGTAGTGACAGGTGAAAACAGCAGTACTGAAAGGTGAAAACTACAGTAGTGAAAGGTTTAAACTACAATAGTGAAAGGTTAAAACTACAATAGAGAAAGGTGAAAACTACAGTAGAGAAAGGTGAAAACAACAGAAGTGAAAGGTTAAAACAACAGAAGTGAAAGGTGAAAACTACAGTAGAGAAAGGTGAAAACTACTGTAGTGACAGGGGAAAACACCCGTAGTGAAATGTGAAACTACTGTATAGAAATATGAAAACTACAGTAGTGAAATGTGAAAACAACAGTAGAGAAAGGTGAATACAACAGTAGTGAAAGGTTAAAACACCAGAAGTGAAAGGTGAAAACTACAATAGAGAAAGGTGAAAACAACAGTAGGAAAAGGTGAAAACAACAGTAGTGAAAGGTGAAAACTACAGTAGTGACAGGTGAAAACACCAGTTGTGAAATGTGAAACTACTGTAGAGAAATGTGAAAACTACAGTAGAGAAAGGTGAAAACTACTGTAGTGACAGGTGAAAACACCAGTAGTGAAATGTGAAACTACTGTAGGGAAATGTGAAAACTATAGTAGAGAAAGGTGAAAACTACTGTAGTGAAAGGTGAAAACACCAGTAGTGAAATTTGAAAACAACAGTAGTGAAAGGTTAAAACACCAGAAGTGAAAGGTGAAAACTACAGTAGAAAAAGGTGAAAACAAGAGTAGAGAAAGGTGAAAACAACAGAAATGACATGTGTAAACAACAGTAGTGACAGGTGAAAACAACAGTAGTGAAAGGTGAAAACAACAGTAGTGAAAGGTGAAAACAACAGTAGTGAAATGTTAAATTAACAGCAAAGCAACGTAAAACCTGCATTAGAGATAATAATAATCTACAGTAGTGAAAATTTTAAACGGTTATTTTTTGCAACAATTATTTAATGCAAAAATCTTAAAATCAAAAATTAAGTGAAGTTACTATTAAGAAAAAACTTTAAATCTCACTTCTTCCTCTCGATTCTCTAATGGGCAGGTTATTTGCTTTCAGGGAAAGGGCTTCCAAGGACTTTTTCACCAGTTCCATTTTTTCGGACTTTGCTGACAATTTCCTCCCAAAATCATATTCATCTCGGTTATTGTTGTACGCCAGCTCGCCCTCCACAATATTTATCTGAGTTTTAACATCCTCCAATAGTCTACATAATTTCGTTATGGAGTCTTCAGCCATCTTCGTTAGCGGCTTAGGTCTTCATGTGAAAGTCTTTGGGAGTATTCCGTCCAACATGTAAGCACTATGAAAAACAGGAAATAACTTTTTAAAATCTGTCAATAATAATAATACATTGTTTGTGGTTACTTGTTCATAATTGCGCTACAATCGGCACGACACTTAAACAGATCACTAGAAATATTCCTACAAAGAAAACACCTATACATTATTTAATTTGTTAATTATTGATCAATACTAAAATTTTGCCCTTTTAACCGTGTTTTAAACTATTAAATGTAACCTTAAGAAGGGACCTCGAGAAGCCCTCGCCGGTAGAGCTCTGCCCAACCGCTTGGAGCCAATCGATTTCTCAATTACTTTTAACCTGTTATTCCTTTTTTTAAACTGTTAAAAATAATTATTTTATTTTTAAAGTTACATCGTATGATTGCAGTGGCGCAGAGCGACCTGTCTTCGCTGGTAGGGCTCTCCCCAACCCTAAGGTAGCGCACTTTGAGTCACTGCAACCTACATGTTAATAATAATAAGAAGGGTAGTCTCACAATAATCTAATGTCAATATTGATCCCTATTACAAGTAGGTTTTTTTATGTTAAACAAACTATTTTAAGTTCTAGGAAACAGCCAACTGCAAATATTTTATATGTACCAATGGAATTGATTTATATTTTGTACAAGTATTTTATATGTATTAATGAACAAAAATGTAATGGTGATATGTGACACTTAAATAAACAAATTGAACTTGAACTATATAATCTCTAACACACAAACCCTCACACATAACAAAGAAAACACCTATATAATCTCTACAACACAAACCCTCACACATAACAAAGAAAACACCTTTATAATCTCTAACACACAAACCCTCACACATAACAAAGAAAACACCTATATAATCTTTAACACACAAACCCTCACACATGATAAAGTATTATATGTTAAGACGCTGTTAAGAGAAGAACGGGATAAGATTCGATCGAGTAAGGCTTATCTCATACTCCCCCGATAGTAGTGAATGTAATATATATATTATACCAGCCAGCTTTTGCTGTGGCAACTGAAGAGGGGATGCACACAACTCCTAACTGATTGGTGAATTTCAAAACTGTTCTGATAAACATATCCATAATGAGTAAAGTGTGTATATAATCAACCGTACCAGTTCTATAAAGAGATAATTGTGGCTTTAAAGTCCCGGGAACAACAAAAGCCACCGCCCGAAACTATCACCTTGTTTCTAGAAGCTTAAACGCAAGACACAAACATGGACAATATGTACATTTCTACTTATCGAATGACAGTTAATTGCTGCCGCAATGGATAGACAGAAGATGCAGTCCGAGGGTTGGAGGAGGAGGAACGAGATGGGTGAACATCCTAAATATAAATGTATTTTAAGAATACGTATAAAATAGGTCACTTTAAAAAGTCCCATGACAGTTATTTGTAACTTCCTGGTTAAAATTTAGCACGTTTAACTCAATGACGCAGTGAACACGTAATCCATTCACATAGCTTACTGAGGTTTTTTTAATAATGTTATTAAAAAGGTTTGACTATTGAGAATCACTTAAAGCCCGGTCACTAGTTTACTGAACTTAACCATGAGTTTTGATTTCCCCTGAAACCGGAATGTCAATGTTTCTAAGAAGAAAGATTACCTCAACAAAATAGATTATCGTTTGCTTTCATTTTATCATTAAACAATTACTATCTATCTTATCTTCTACCAAAGCAAATATCATTCCATCTTCGACAAAATGTTAACAGACTTAAATGTAAGATCAAAGCGAGTAATTTTTATTTTTTAACAATTATCAATAGCGTATGTTAAAGACACATGAAAATATTATGTAAGTAGATTCTAGGAAAGGGTTTGATATTTTAGAATGCTATAATTCTTTTAAAGATGACAATGTTTTCCGCGAGAAGCTGTAGACTGTGAATGCAGGGGTAAGAGTCGGACGTGAAATTACAAAAATTGACTAATGCGCTAGCGATTTCTCAACTCGATATTTCAAATAATTTAAAACCCAGGCTCTTTTTGGAATGAACATTTGAATATCCACAAGGAGAAGGAACGTTTGACAAGACGTTGAATTTCTCTATCCGCTCAAGCACTGAAGCAACAAGCATAGCAAGAGATTAGAAATCAGCAAGCGAACGTGTGTGGCCTCTACAAGGTACGAGCGATACCATGTCTTGAGAATCTAACAGCAACTACGACATAAAACGAACAATAGTCATTGTGCATTTGAGACATCGATAATTCAGCCGACTTCGTAAGTGACTAAACTGTTAGACAACAGAAACAATTCTGTTTAGATTCATACCAATTTATCCTATAGAATAAAGACCAATCTGTTCAAGAGAATAGGACCAATTTGTCATATAGAAAAGGACCAATCTGTCCTATAGCAAAGGACCAATCTGTTCTAGAGAATAGGACTAATCTGTCCTATAGCAAAGGACCAATCTGTTCTAGAGAATAGGACTAATCTGTCCTATAGCAAAGGACCAATCTGTCCTAAAGAAAAGGACCAATCTGTTCTAGAGAATAGGACCAATCTGTCCTATAGAAAATGACCAATCTGTTCGAGAGAATAGGACCAAACTGACCTATAGCAAAGGACCAATCTGTTCTAGAGAATAGGACTAATCTGTCCTATAGCAAAGGACCAATCTGTTCTAGAGAATAGGACTAATCTGTTCTATAGAAAAGGACCGATCTGTTCTAGAGAATAGGACTAATCTGTTCTAAAGAATAGGACCAATATGTTCTAAAGAATAGGACTAATCTACCAAGCAAAGGACCAATCTGTCCTATAGCAAAGGACCAATTTGTCCTATAGAATAGGACCAATCGTCTTATAGAAAAGGACCAATCTGTTCTAGAGAATAGGACCAATCAGTCGTATAGAAAAGGACCAATCTGTGTTAGAGAATATATCCACTCTATCCTATATAATAGGACCATGATGTCATAAAGAGTAGGAAATATTCTGTCCCTCAAATACTGGCAAGATAGTAGAACTGCTACATTTATGGTAGACGAACAAACATTTGACAATATATAAATATGTACACACAATAAATCATCACAAATTTCGTCAAGACCTGCATAAGAAAAACATTAATCATCATAAGTTGCTTTTATCAACAGCAAAATTATAGGTAAAGGGGAAAGAATTATAGTAATACAGGGAGATTTAACCAGGAAGACATTAGGTAATACTGACATTTACATAGAGCGACTTCTTTGGCAGAATTGAATATTGAGATTGTAGAGATTGTAAAGATTGCTCAAATGTTACATAAAATAATAGACTGATGATAATTGTTTATAATGAGAGTAAAACGGTAACTGTACTACTACTTACCCTGCCCCGAGGAGAGATGAACGTTATGCAGGTCTGTTCTTTCCAACGTGATATAAATAGATATGTAACAACTTCCTGTAAGACTCGATCGCAATATATACAAACAAACAACCAAGTTAACTTAGGTATAGTTAGCTTTCTGATAACTGAACACAAAACGTTTTATCTAGTTTATATGTAACAACGTATTAAAATTCATAATAGATCTAGATGGACTGACACCATATGACTTATAACTGCCACAAACCACAAAACAGTTTTTGTAAACATTAAGTTGTTTGTTTAGGACACGTTATGCCAGCAAAGCTTTGTCAACTTTGATCGTTTTACGTTTATACGTTTGAGTTCTATACATCGTACAGTCATAGAATCACTTTCAATATGTTAAGTGGTTAGGGTCAGAAAATTGTGTTATTGAGGGCAGAAAAATGACGTTCATCGAACTAAATTTGCTAAATTTGGAAGTGTGAGTATCGTGTTTATGTGGTGTAAAAGCTGACAGAACTGACAAAAACATTTCAACAATGACATATTTTGAAGTTCCACAAATGTCCTTAATACCAGCATCAGGAAATATATACACCAGATCCAACACATATGGATAAAAAGTGTTCCGTCATTTGAACACGTTTAAGAAGTTGTTATAAGCTTTTTTATGTCGTATGCACAATATTGATTCATGTTATATGAAAGTGTAGCATTAACTTACAGAAACTATTCGAAAAACAAAGGACAGACAGACAGACAGACAGACAGGGAAAGGGTAAAGGGGAGAGAGAGATAAAAACCGAGGAGACACCAAAACAAAAGAAAAAGACAACATGAACCCCACACAAAGAGGTACCATCTGATGTTAATCTACGATTAATATAATCATTCACACCCCCTTAGGGGTGAGATAGGGAAATCTCAACCTGAAGGGGGAAGATTCTTAAGTTACCAAACAAGAGGCTTTGCCGAGTGTTTGGCAACTTAAAAATCTTTCCCCGATCGCGAGGGTTGAGATTCCCCTATAGGGGTGAATGATTCTTTTTCTCTTACCCTGTTCACCCACGGGTCTGGATCGCTTAAACGCGCAGACTGGCGGGCGAATTATAGTGACCTTTCAGGGTTACGCTATTGTTCGTGACGTCATTTTTACGATATTTTGAGGTCAGTCGGGGTCATTGACTTCATTAACAATTGCCATCCGGGTTCCATATAGGGATTGAATGGAATTCTTTTCATGTACATTGCGGCAATAAATAGCAGTAGCTTAATCTACATTTGATCCTGGGGAGCGCGCTCCTTAGAAGATATGTAGATCAGCTACTGCTATTCATTGCCGCAATGTACATGAAAAAAAGCTATTCAATTCATATAATTACGATGAACTAAAATTTGAAAAAAACCAAAATGTAAATTTGAGAATTTTAATATAAGTATCGGACAGAAAATTATAAAAAAGGAACAGCCGGAACTCCAGCCTACACACACATTTCAAATGTTCGACTTCTGTTCTTCCGCCGATCAGCTGATTTTGTTAAAAAGAACAAATATATCTAGAATCTAGTAATAATCAACACTTAATATTCCTTTCATTTTTGACAGTTGATCTTATTGGATATTGTTTTGTTTTGCATTATGAACACCGCATATTATATATTTAAAACAGTTTTAATCGCACTATTTCAAATCATCGGTCACCACAGTAACCATCCATGTCACTCCCGTCGGCAGTAGGCATAGAGCTCATTTGAAGTTAAATGTACAGCCGTTGAATGTACTGTTCACCAAAAAAACCTGCAGATGTAAATGATGATAGGCTGGTGGATGAAGTGCCCTGTGTCGTAACAAAGTTCTCTGAGTTCAATGTGCAAGTGCACGGGGATTGCCCAGCCGGACGGTTGGTTGTTAAAAAGTTTGTGACCACGAGGAACCGATTGCGGGTCGGAAGTCAGCATTTAATATGACAATGTTATAAGTATTTTTTAATTTTTTTTTCAAATTAGAAAGAATAATAGTCATAGAACAATGGTGCACCATTTATGATTTTTGTAATGTTTATCATTATTTCTGGCAACTGCGTTATCTCGAAGAGGGGAAATAACTCTTCTCAGACACGGTACTATGCGTAGTAATATGAAGTGGTCATCGTGTGTGAAATCAGCTGACTGGTTGCACAAAAAATCGTTGTATTCATAGTGTATTCATGGTCTAAAGGCAGTTGTTTTCAGTTGGTAGATTCATGTACAGAACAAACATCAAGAATATAAATTTATGCAAATGAGAAATGTGCAGACAGTTTACAATTGTACAACAAATACGTACTCCCAATAGCAAAGCCGCGCCAACAGATCCAGGGTAACGTACTCGTAAAGGGTTTAAAGACCTACCGTATGTCGACAGTACTTCTGGTATGTCACTTAAACTTGTACGAACATGTTACTTATTTAATTAGATACACTGAGTCACAACCATTGTTAAACACATGACTACCCCTCAACATAGATCATCTATAACCTCATGCCTATATATCTACATATGATGGGACCTGTCAGTCCGCCTTGCAGAGGTTTCAACATATAGCAAATGTCTTGATTCGTATCGATATCGTCTATGTTTTCTTTGTCATCTCCGAGCTCTTCAATGGAAGCGCATCAACCCCGGTGTGCTAGTAATGGTCGACTCGAATCCGATCAGAAATCATAAACACACTTCTTCGAAATGATGCCATATAATCGCATATAAGAGGTTTTTTTGTTTATTTTATTGTTAAAAAATAAAATTAATATAAAAAAAATGCGTCAAATAACATCGATTTGATCACATCAGGTGTGGAGACATCGCTAGATATCGCCTTTAGTGGTCTCCTACCAAATGAAAGCTAATATGACATAAACACGCAATTAATTTTTAAAGGTTTTGTGTGTGTCTCTGGGGGTATTCGTGAAGCTCTCTGATATAAGTGAACATAAGAGTACGTACCATCTACACCTGTGTGCACCGAACCTGTCAACACCACTATACAGAATGCAAACTACTTTTCTTTCAAATGCTATGGTTATTTTTTTATCAAATAATCAAAGTCAGTCAATTATTCAAAACGAGTAGGTTTATATTTTTGTTTCCATTGTATTATGAGGAGAAACCATCGACGGTAATAAACATGGTACACACTTCAGTATTTAATTAGATTTTACACGACGCTAGGGTATAATTATATTTATGATAATCTACAGACTAACATTTGTGAGTTGTGATGTGTGCTGACTACAGCAGGAAGCGCAGGTAGTTCCCCCAACAGGTAATTCCTAATTCGTTTCACATGCTTTTTGAATCTTTTTTGGAATCGAGCCAAATCAAATTTCCCTACTTTTTCCAATAAACATTATGAAATCTATTGTTGATATTTTAACAATGATTCAACGTTCTGATTTTCTCCTGAAATTAAACACATTCTGGTAAAGTTTTCGTATGGATTCATAAGGAGATGAGGTAGTTTTAGGTCCGTTTTTAATACTACCAAACATAAGTGCCTCAGTTTGTTTTTAATTTATTTTTGTATTGTCGTGCCGATGCCTTCTATTTGATGTCACCATCTTAGGTTTTATGACGTCATATTTGTTGCTACAGTATGACGAGGATGCGGCAAACAGTTCTTTATTACCTTGAACCTTACGGCTCATCAGTTCAAAATAAACATATATTCAAGGATAAACAATATAATCACTCACAAACAAACATTTGGTATTTCACCATGGTCACGTGGTATCGTACACTGCTTACGACACACTGTCCAGGCCGCAGGTAATATTTTGAAAAATAAGACATGTTGGGTTAAAATGTGCTTTCGTAACATGATACCAGAATTAAGTGTGGGATTATTTTTTAAATTTGTAGAAAAAAAAGAGTATTTTGTTGTTTAGTGTGTACTTTGAATCGCTGACATTTCGTGAGATACATCAATGAAGGTATGTTATGTACCTTTCTTAGCAAATCATCCAAACTAACAACGACTGTCTATCAGGTTACACAAAGTCATGATAAGTCAGCAACAAATTTGCATCTGTGACGTCATAAAGATACATTTTCGTACTTTCTCTTCAACATTTAAAATTAAGAAAATTTGATATCAATCGTATTTGCGACACCGTAAAAACCAGTGATAATATATATAGAGAGAGGTTTAACAACTGGAAATCCTCTGTAATGTTGGCGGATGCAATATAATGTAGGTATATCACAGGTCTGACTCTCCTCGTCTTTTGGAGGTATCATTAACATAAATTTTACAAAATCTACGTAAAAAGAGATTGTCATAAACAGAGGGTTCCCGCATTAAAACTGATATTTGATTCATGAAAGGAAACATTGTGTATCTATAGACACGCTACGTCACCACTAGGTTCCTAGTTATATTTGATATTACATGAACTGATTTTAAACATATTTAAATGCGCCGAAGTGGACAGTATATTGTGTATACGGGGTTTTCTGTCGGAGAGGTTCTCTCTACGCCGGAGGATTTCAGGGTCGTCATAGTAATATGTTATTATCTAAGGGATGTATTTCTTAGACTGTTGGTCACTACATACTCCCCGGCACGATTTTGTAGTTTTGACTCATAATTGGTCATGGTGTAGGTATATTTAGCCGAATGCAACATTTTGGTCCCAATTTTTGTAAGGATCGTGATCGATACCTTGATATCGAATTCTATTGAACATTTGTGGTATTTTGTTAATTTAAGAACTGCCAGCTGCTTTCTGTTTTATGATGTATGAACCATACGAATGTAAACTCTGTCCCTGGTTACGGGTGTCTAGGATAGGTAGGGAGCACCTGATGTACGTGTTACCTAAACAAATACGTCGCCACCTGTCTGTAATTGATACTAGTCCTGTAGCTGGCACGGGTAGAATCGGTACATACAATGTACATATGACTGCACACAAAGAACAGGTTGCGAAGAGATATTTAAATCCCTTTGATTCAGTTCATGTTTCTTAATTTTATTGTAATGGTGACGTCTAGTTTAATTTAACAGGTAAAATTACAATAATAATATTAATGATAATAATTCGA